TAGTTATGATGGTTAGTAGTTATTAGAACAATAATTAATTTATTTAAAAGTAATTAAAGATGATTTCACGATATGGTTAATGGTCTTGTCCATGTAATTAAAATTGTTGACACGTGTTATAAACTCTATGTTTGAGATTCTTAATTAAATACTATAAGATTATTAGTTACACATTATGGTTACTAAATTAATGAATGCAAGATATCTGTTTTTAATTTTTATGAACATAATTATCTTTTAATCATAATTAGCTTATATTCATAGTCACATATTCATTTTAATGATAATCAAATTAAATTATTTGATGTAATATAAATATATATGCGAATAGTTATTTACCATAAAAGTGTATGTCTTCGTGAGGAAAAAAAATATTTAAAAATATAATAAAAGACGTTGGACAGGAATTTCAACCTAACACAATTTTATTAATTAGGATAGATAATTTTCTTAAGGAAAAAGTTACATTGTTTTGAGAAAATAAAAATATATCCACTTGAAGAAATAATAGTCTAGATTTTGATCATATTGGGTTTGCTTTCGACCAAATATAAAAGTAAAAATTTAAAGAATCCCATAGTGTAATTCAATAATTACATTCTGTCCCGATAAATTTAGTATTTACAAAACATCCCTTAAATTTGTTGTTCTGTGATACTTTAGACTCTAATGATACATGGTAAATGATACATGGTAAGTTTAAACTGTTGAGAAAAAAATGGGGAAAAAACGGTAACAATTAATGTTGTTACTAAAACAGCTTAATTTAAGGTAACAGATCATTAATCTCCATAAAATCAGCACGTAATTGGATATTAATTTCAAATTTTGAAAATCAAAGATTATATCATCTATTTTGAAGTCTATTTATCTTTTCAATCTTGCTTCTTTAAATAATTTTTGATCATTTCTAAGAATCCTTTGAAATCCTTAAAGTACACTACGGTCAATTTGACAATAAGAATATATAATGTTTCTCTTTAGTTATAATTGAATATTGGGATTTCTCGCTTTATTTATGTATGTTATGCTTGGTTGAATATCTGCTTTTTTTTGTGAACGATGCACTCTATTCATCCAATAGTGTTCAATACAAACAAATAGATGATAACTATCTACACTCCTATCAATTACAAAAAGTCTATACATGCTACAGCTACAAAACACGAGAAACAATCTTACATAGTGAATAAAAAGACAATACAACAACTTCTCTAATTACAAGACCTAAGGGTATGAATTTGAAGCAAGTAAAGGTCTTTGGAAGCTAGAGATGCTTCTGCCTCTGGTATTTATATGCAGTACAGTTTCCTTGCATAATCAGTCTGCTGAAGATACTCCTCCCCCTGGAATCTGATCACATTCTTGTCCTTTAGGAAATTGTTGTTAAAATTGACAGCAAACCTTATGGGATGTGTTGGTATCTTTTTAATCTTGTACTTCATTGGCTGCAATTTGAAAATAAAACAACAAGTTATAACGATATTGAAATATAAATACTAAATAAAACAACTAATAACTTACTGATACATGGTTTCAGTTTTCAGAAATTCATACTACATGAAAAACATGTGATACATGTCTACTACATGTATTATTGAATTAACTAAAACATTATAACATGTGATACATATCAAATACATGTATCAGAAACATCTACTAAACAATATACACACTGATTCTCTATATATCATCCAGTACAGTTGATGACACATTTATTAAGTTTAGTGAATGATACATTATAACAATTTTCAAAACATGTATCAGTACATCAACTAAACAACTAATACCTTACTAATACATGATATCAGTTTTCAGGAATTCATACTACATGCAAAACATGTGATACATATCTACTACATGTATCAATGCATTGACTAAACACTGTACACACTGATTCTATATGTATCATCAAGCACAGTTGATGACGCATTTACTAAACCTATTGAATGATACATTATAACAATTTTCAAAACTTCATGATACATATAAAATATTATGATACACAACAAATTCATGTATCAATTCACCATCTAAAATATTATGATACACAACAAATTCATGTATCCGTGATATTGTTAAATCCCAGATTTAACTCTTTCAAACTGCTGAGTGCTGCAGATATAAAACGGTTGGCTAACAATGTGGAATGGTTTTGCTTTAGTCAGTTCTTTTTGGCAGATAACAAATGTCTTCCACTTACCCAAAAACTTCTCACATCCATCATCTAAAAGGTGAGATCTATTGACATTTAGCGACTTCAACGAAGTGAGAGCTGCATTATGATAAACGAACAATCAGAAACTTCAACAACGTGATGGAATCCCAGAATAGAGAAGTAATTCCCCGAAAAATTCTCTTTTACTTCATAAAGTTTGTCCCGCAAACTAGGCCTAGTAAGTTAACATGGAAATTAAAACAGTAAAAGCAGACCTGTGAGGTAATCCAAACATGACGCAGTAACAAAAGACCCTTCCAAGTTTAGCACGACTAGTTTGTACAGATCTGTAAAAGAATGAAATATTATCAAATCCAGATTACATCTTAACGTAGAACAAAAAGGAAATGTTAACTTTACGAAAAGCAGCCGAAGAGACTATTAATTGAGCTTCTTACAGCCAGAGTCTTTGTTTGAATCCATCTGAACATTCATAGGATCATGCAAAAAGAACTGAAACTTGATGGAGAATAAAACGGTAGAAGTTAAGAGAAGTTGTCCTGCTTCCTGAAATTTTTACTTTTTTAAATTTCAAATTCTTTGAATTTTGAAATTCAAAATTTCAAAATTTGGTCTTTTATTTAAAATTAATAATTCAAAATCAAAAAACTGATTTAAAAAGTTGAGTGTTTTAAATGGATAAAATTCAAATCAAAAACTGATTTAAGAGGTTGAGTGTTTTAATGGAGAAAAAATAGGCATTAAAATGGGTAAATGTGTATTATAGGAGAGAGAATGTAATGTATCTAAAAACTTACACTAAAATTAAAAAAAGGGAATTATGTAATATTTAAAAAAAGTAGGGAAAATTAGAGAATATAAAAATTATAGTTGTGTATTTAAGTTATTTTTTCAATATAAAAAGATAAAACTTACTAATTTAGTGTGCTTGAAAACACACTTTAATTTAATATTTCTTAGAAATTCATTGATAAAAAAAATTGCCACCTTTTTATTGTTCAAATAAAGTTTTCACTACTTTTATTCTAGTACTACTATTTTACAAATTAAAAACACACCGTTCATGAGAGATCGAATAGTGAAATCAGAATTTTCATTAAAAATAAAATTGAGAAAAATAAGAACTAAGAAAAATTCAATATTTACTGTCAAACGAACTTTTAACCTACTTGGCTTTGAAGACAGAATTCTTCACTGAAATTTCATTACATTTTTTTCTTCGGAAAAAGTTGAATTCAAATAGTCAATTATTACATATTTTTCATCGTAGAATTGAAAATCTTAACTCAAAACATCAAAAATGATTTTTTTTTTCATTCGTACAAACGCATGAAAATAAATATTAGTATTTTCTAGCTACTTTTTTTGTCTACATGCTGCATTTACAAAAGTTGATGGAAAAGAAAAAGAACAAAGGTTAAAGCAAAGTTTTCTTTTAGTTTAATTTTCATGAAGGAATATCCGTAATTTAATTTTTATTAACAGGTACAATTGCAGAGATGGTACCATTCAATGTTTCTTCAATCGTATGTTTAGATGAAATTTCACACTAATTTAAAATTGTTAATTTTATTATTTTTTATATATTTCGTCAAAGATAAAAATTTCATCATATATTCAAGAACTTTTCTTATTATTTTGTGACACGCATCTAATTGATTCATAAAAAGAGAAAGTTTGAAAAGATTAACTTAATCAAAAATAAATTTCTTAATTCGCAGATTTATTAATAATAACATTGAGATTGCACACAACGAATAAAAATGTTGTGCTTGATCTACTCTTTGAATTTCTTTTCATTCAAAATAATTATGAGCTTTAACAATTAATTTTGATCTCTAAGGATCCTTTATAGATAATATTTAATTTTTGTCCGCGTATGACTTAGAACATATACTTAATTAACATTTGTGTTGATAAATAATTCTTGGTTAAAATTATCGCTACAAATTGTTAAAATTGATAAAGAGTAAGATAAAGTTCTTTGAAAAATATAAATAAATGGAATGTGAATCAGATAATACGTAATAACTATTTTTTTAAAAAAGACACTTCATAAAATTTCTCCTATTTTCTCAAATAAATCTAATTTGTCCTTTTATTCCATTACTCCCCAAGTTACGAAGCTGGTTAAATAATACTTCACCCGTTTTAAATTATTATTACCATTTTAAAATTAAAGATAAATTTATTGGCCTTTTCCCATTTTAGAGAATTATTTTTTTTATTATAAACATTCCAATTTATAAAAGTAGACACATCAATAGAGTAAATACTCACTTAAAAAAAGAGATTGTTATTTTAGAAGTTCAAAACAAAATTAATAACTCTCTACTTTTTTTCTGAATGTGATAATTATTTTCAAAGATTACTAATACCTTTATATAACAAAAAATTTTAACGAAGAAAGATTATATTTAAATTATTTATCATTAATAAATATTTATTTAAGAGTAAAGTAATAATTTGAGGGAAAAGAAATAATGCACATGTACCTTTAAATATATGTCTGAAATTTCACATATACACTTATACTCTATTAAGGTTCTATTATTCTTTTAATTTATTTTATAAATAATTTTTTATTCCTTTTCGATCTACATAACACTATCATACGGGTCTAACACTGATTTTCTTTTTTCAAGTTAGTATTGCATATGTCGAAAAAAACTAATTAAAAATAAGTTTAAAAATTAATATAACCTTAATATAATATAAGTGAGATTTGGAGCTAAAAAAATTTCAGATTCAATTGACCCGTTGGTTAAAAACCGAAAAGTGCCGAAACTTGACAGTATAAAATACATTCCGTGTAAACATTCACATAGCTTCGCGCTTCACTCATCTCTCCACTTTTCCCTTTTTCTTCCTCTCTTTAAAAAAAAAAGAAAAGCAAATCTCTTCCTTATAGTAAACATTTTTTTTTCAGTTCCTTCTAGTGTTATAATGGCAGCACAAGATCGACAAGAAGATCAACCTGAACTCCAGAACTACAAGGTTCGTTTTCTTCTCTTCTTATTCTTTTCCCTTATACTTTTTTTTTTTGTGGTTCTAACATTTTCTGCTGTTTGTTGTTTATATAGACTTGGGTTTTGAAAGTTTCCATTCACTGTGAAGGCTGTAAAAGGAAAGTTAAGAAAATTCTCCAACAAGTACCTGGTAAATATAACCATATTCCTTTCTTTGCTTTTTACATGCTCTTGTTAATTTAACAAAACAAATCTTGAGTTTCTGTATTCTGTTAGTAATTCCTATTTTTTAATTTCAGGAGTGTATACTATAGATATCGATCTCAAGCAACAGAAAGCAATAGTAACTGGGAATGTAGAAGCAGAAGCTCTTCTCAGGAAACTACACAAATCCGGTAAACACGCTGAATTAGTACCACAACAGACTGATCACAAGGAGAAAAAGTCTGCTAAGATCAAGAGCAAAGAGAAACAAATTAACCCACAAAACAAAGAAGCAGAATCAACTACCCAACTTGATATCAATACCCACAAAAATGTCAAATCAAATGAAAAAATTGCAGCACCCAAAGAACCTTCAGTAAAAATTCAAGAGGCAAGTGATGAAGCAGTACCCAAACGGAGTGAAAAACCTAGCACCGGTTCAGCGAAACCGACAGAAGAAACCGGCACCGCCTCTGGTGACAAACCGGTGGAGGCTGAAAAAGAGAATGAAACAGTTGAGGAGATAAAATCTGAAGGAAAAAAAACGGTAACCGACTCTACCGGTAAACAACAAATTCCGGTGGCGGCGGAGGAAAAGGTTACTGATAGTGATGATGCTTCAGCTAGTGGCGAAAAAAGCGGTGGTGGCCCAGTTGGTGAAGCAAGTGGCAATACTGGTAAAAAGAAGAAAAAGAAAGGGCAAAACAGTAACAACGTTGAGGGCACACCATCAATTGTTGCTCCGGCAGGTCCAGTATTCGAAAATCATAACATAGGACCACAAGTCTTTGCGCCGACCAATGATAGCCCTCCACGTCATCCATCTTATCATTATTACCCGCAACAGGGCCCACAGTTCTACGCCCCACCACCAGCACCAGCATACGTCGTTAGCTACAATACGGCTCAACCTACGGCTAACTATACGGCATCGTATTATGCTCCGGCACCTCCCACTTCGTATGCCTATACGTATTCCGGTCCTAGTCATGTAACGGAACCTCCACCGTCCGATGTGGATACGTATCCACGCCAACCGTTGGATTCGTTTGAAATGTTTAGTGATGAAAATCCTAACGGATGTTTTATCATGTAATGCAATTATGAAATCCTACGTATGTTTGTACGTAGGGTTTCGGTGTATACGGACTTATACTACTTGTATGGTTTCGGTGTATACGGACTTATACTACTTGTATGAGTACATGTATTATGTAGATATAAGTATAAAAATGGTGAAATTAGGGTATAATTTAGAAAATGTTAGGTGTTAGTGTTGGGGGTCTTTAATCTTTTAGTGGGTTGTTGCTTCTTTGTTGAAATTTGTAGGATGTAGCTTTATTTAGTAAACATTTTCGTTTTTTAGTCTTAAAAGTAGCTTAGCCTTGTAATGCTTAGTTGTATTTTTGGCCTTTTTGCCTCATTCATCTCCTTTCTTTTCCTCTCTAATTATGATTTAGATTTACCAATTTAAGTATTCAACATTAATCACGGAATAACTAATAAATATGGATCTATACAAGAACTTGTAATTATTCCTCACTTTCTGTCCTTATTTTGATGCTTTTTAAAATGTCTAAGTAAGAATGAATTATGATATTCTATTAAGCACATTAATAAATAAGAAAATATTAATGATTCGAGCTTATATAATTTCTTATTTCTCTAATTGGATTCAATGTACATATTCAATCTAATAAAACGGGGAAATAAATCTATTCGGATTAAATTAAAATGTTAAATCATCAAGTGTAAGATTTAGTTTCCAAATAAGTCAGAATGTTAATGAACTCATGAAGTTTTAGGAAAATAACTAAGCTAAAATATGATTTTCTCACTAAAAGAATGAATATGCAATATTTATTTTATCAATATACCCTTTTTTTTTAAAAAAAATAAATAGCTATTTAGTAGAATTTCATCAATGAATTCTACAAAAGATGGTGTGTATGCTTATTATTACCGCATGAAGATAATAATGCTATTTTGATAAACGCTAAATTCAAATATAGCATAACAAAAAGATAAGGAGAGAGATGTAATACGGTGGAGAATACCATTAACATCAAATCAACATCAATAAATAATATGAAACCCAAACAAAACACAATGCCATAAGGGATAATAATACCACTGATATGGAAAACTAGACAATACATTTATATATTAGGCTTTTATTTTAATCCGCAATATTTATATTCTTCTATCTAGTGGCATGTGTCTTTATTAGGTTGCAGATGAGTCAAATCATCCCTCTCGTTCGTCGATCAATTTTATATTTACCTCATCTCATGCCCACCATAGTCAACCTCTCATACTCCTCTAAAACATTATGAAATTTATTCTTCGTATATCTGAATCATTTAATGTTTCTTTTAACTATGGAATATACTTCTTTCTCCCTGCTCATAATTGATTAGCATGTGATATTCCCTAAGCCTACCAATTATAACTATGGAATACCAATGAAGTTTGGTATAAATAGTAACTGTGCTAAATTGTTTTCCAAAGTAAAATTTCTAGAGACTGGTGAATGGAAATAAAGTAGTTCTCTTTCCCAGTTTAAATCAGAAGAGCAAACAATATTTTCCTTTTATTAACTTAAAGAAAGAGCAAACAATTGAGCAATCAATGTTCAAAATTAAATCAATTTAAGGATCTAGTTTTATAGATATTGTAGAGGAATTATAATAAGTTGAAATTTGATTTTGTCCCATTTTATATTAGTGAGAGAGTGAGTATATGTACTAGCTATTAATCGTTGTTACGCACGTTTCATGTGAGAATCGGAATCTATGCTCATGTGAGATTCCAATTTATTTATTTTTCCGTTTTATAAGAGATCTTTATTTTTATATATAAAAAATTTAAAAATCATTTTCCCTAATAATCTGCAGGAGTAGTTCAGTAATACATATATCAAATTTCAATGTTTGCGATAATACATTAAACATTATATTACAATATTATAAATTACTTCATTTGAAATAATATTGATTCACTTATAATTTTGTTTTATTTTCGTAAGCCTTTTCAAGTAAGTTTCATCCCATGAGATCTATGAGCTCTTTTGAATAAGTCAATTCACTTAAAAACTTTGCATATTATCTTTTAATTATATTCAAAAATCAGCCTCATTGCTCTTTATTTTCGCATCAAATTTTTGTTTGCGGATGAAGAAATGTCAGAAAAATGTTAAAAAGCGTTTCTTATTTTCGAGTAGTTTATTTTCCCAAGAATAGGAAAGAGAAACACTTGTTAGCTACTTCCTCCATTCAATATTATTTGTCATGATTTCTGTTATTAGAGTTAAATTATAAAGTTTTAACTAACATTTTAAGATATATTTCTTCATTATATTAATATGCAAAAAATTTTAATTTATAGAACTTTTCATATAGTTTTAGAATATCTAATTTTTTTGTTTAAGATATCGAATCAATGTGATCCAATTTACCTTTGATAATTAGTTAAATTAATTTTCGATAAACGCAATATAACAAATAATATCGATAAAAAAATAGTGTTTTTTAATCATGAATTAATTATATTTAATGAAAATTAAAATAATATTAATTCCTATTTAATAATTTTTTAAATCACGTCAGATGCTAATAAATATAAGCGCTATTAATGCCCAAGAGATTCTTTTTGAAAACTTGTTATTTCAACTTCAATAAATCTAGAAAAATTCCCCACAAAAATGAGGAGTCTACATACATATGCATTAATTTTGTTGGTGTATTTGGGCAAGCAAATCCATGAGAGGTTTTAAATGATGTGTAAAGTAAAGTTGTTGATGATAAGATTTGTAACAAAAAGACCAACATAAGTTGTGGGATAGTTGGATCTTTTCCTTCCTAATTAAGAAATTTTAAACTCCAACTCTTAAAGAAAAAATAAAAAAAGATCACAACATTATTATTACAAATTTTTTAATATAAATTTATATTTAATTAAATTTTAATATAATTATCGAACGCCACACGAAGCGATAAAATAGTTAGGCAAAGGGAGAAGAGGTCCTTGTTTTTTGTGTTTCTTTTAGGGAAGAGAGAGCTTTCATGAAAAGTCACAAAATACATGTTGAGGTTTTGATGGTTTCTTTTGTCTTTTGTCCTTTGTTGCTTAATCTAATTATTGCACTAACTGCTTTATTCTCTTTTCTTCTCCACACATTTTTTTATTTTTATGGATAGCAAATATTATATTAAAATTTTATTAAATTTAGATTTATTTTGAAATATTCCAAATTAGAGGTAATCACTCCTAAACAAACGTGATTTAATTCAAATTAACTTCAAAATCTCTTCATTCCTCCGTTAATTTCATTTTCTTTTTTATACTCCACCTGTTTCAGTATAGCTAGATTCTACTGTGGGTTAACTACACATATATTTGCATGTTTTAAAATATTTGTCATATTATGCTTTTTATCAATGAATTGGTATTATGAATTTAATTAATACTTTATCACGATATTAATATAAAGTTTATAATATATAAAATTAATTTTTAAATAATTAAGATTAAGTTTTAAAAAAACTAATTTAATTGATTTGAATATATAAATTGATTCGACTTATTAAAAAGTGAAACATAATAATTGTTTTGATAAAATTTCAGTAATATTCAATACTTTAAAATTTATTGTCTTAAACGCAAATGTTATCATAAAAGTTTAAAAGTAAAACAAAAGATAACATTAATTTTTCAGTATTATTATTAAGAAAAAATCTTTTTTTAATAGAAATACTTCAACACCCGAGTTTGAGCTATATGCACCAATAATGATGTAGGTAATCTTTTACGATATTACATATACTATAAAAAAAAAAATGCCATAACTAGCAAATTGTCATATGACCCATATACCAGTTTGAAATGTGAAAACAATTACTAGCAAAAATATAAAACTACATACACTAATAGACTCTTCTGGTATATTTTTTATTCGAATTTCACGTATAGAAGAAATCTAATGTATCAAACTATCCTTTTATCAGATTATTCCAAAAATATTTACTACTAAGATTTATTTAAATGAGATGTAATAATGATTTGATGATATAATCTTTTTGTTTTGCTAATAACAATGTACATATATAATGAGTATAAAATATGAAAGTGTTTATACCCTAGGTAGTGAATGAGTTGTTTTATTTCTTAGTTGTAATGATGTGTTACACTTTGTGTTTGTTACTTTTGAATCTTTAAACCACTTTCCCCATGTGATCCAAAGCACTTCCTATTCTTTCTTCCTAACATTCACTTCTTTTAACAAAAACAAAAACAACTACTTTCCTTTTGTCTTTATGTGGTGCACAAAAAAAAGGTACATTTTGACTAGAAGTTTGACTGTTTGATGCCCTATTTTAAATTCTTTCAATTACTCTATCAAGAATTTTTTAAAGATTTGATTCTAGTGTTAGTTAGATGCTGGTCAAAATCCAGAATATCCACATCTAAATTACTAATAATGTAAAAATACTTCTCATTTCAATTCATATTGATGAAATATTCAGTAGCTAATGTCACTCTCACCATATTTTTTTGAATTTTAATTTGGAAATTTGTCTTTAATTTGACTATTGCTTCTGTTTTAATAATAATAAATTTTTAAAAATAATTTAAATATTAAAAAAAGGTTTGATAGGAAAATTGACCCCTAAAGCGAAGCGCACTTGTTGAGTTAGTAGGGAAGAGTTTAAAAAGATAGTTTTTATTGGCTCAAACATCACATTTTCCATTAAAAGAATATATGAATGAATGACATGTCTTCTTGGAATTACCTACCACTTTACTCATGCTTGCAAATCAATGAATCTTTTATCGGAGTTATAGTAGAATGATAAATATTTATTTATTTTTATTTAATATATTTTAAATTTTAAGTATTTTTAAATATGGAGTTATCTTTATTAGGAAGCGTTTTATTTTGAGATTTTCTGACAAAAATTTGATATAAATACTCAAAAATCAAGTGGAAATCAAAAGAAATAATCATTGAATCTTCACTCCACATATATAATTTTAGAATAACTACTCTCGATCAAATATTAAATTAATTTATCAAAAGAAATTAGTTATTTCCTACTCCTATCAAACCTGCTCCAAATGTTAAATTGATAATAGATAAAAAAAGTATTAGGCAATTTTCTTTCATTAATTTATCATTTATGTGAAAATCATAAGAGAAATAATTGCATAATATAATAATTATAATAACATGTTTATTTGTAATAAAAATAAAAATGTCTTATTTGATTTCACAAATATTAACTACACAATTTGATATTCTTTTAGTATATATCTATATTGAAGAATTCTTTTTACTGAAATCGATGCATTTTCTTAAATAATTATTTGACCAGACAAATAGACCAAATTATGTAATTATATCAAAATTTTAATTATAATTTTATATCCTTCCAATCAGGTCCTCAAGT